ATCAGTGTTGCTTCACTACGTTCAGGTCCTAAATTGGGTCCCAGTCCAGATAATGTGAATGGTCTTCTGTGTGTGCACATGGGCCTGTCCTGTTGATGTTTCATCAGGTAGATGAAAAGAAAACTATGTGTCTTCAAAGGCTAATTGCGAGTCTGTAAGTGTGGTGTTACTTAAGTATTTAGGTTAAGTATTGGGGTTAAGACATTAAAACTTTTAGAACATTTCTTCTAACATATAACATGATTGAACATGTTATTAGTCATTAAACATTACTAAAGATATTGAATGCAAATGGACTGAACTATAACTACTTCTGCTGCTATATGGCAAGTGAAAAAATGTCTATGTTTAAATTGAATTTACAGTAATTATATATTATTAGAAGTCCACCAATAGAGCTCCTGTAGTTGTCGTCACATAATCTCAGCATGAACCTCCAAACCCCACAGTAGCAGTAGTCGCAGCTGAGAATTCCCATAGAATCTAAGGGTGTCCGTCTTAATTAACAAACTTTATGAGAGTTTCAGAGATTGTGGATTATTGTTGTGCTCTGAGATGTACACATGATTGAAGACAGAAGAAAGCCTGAGCCTTTTACTGGATTTACAAAGATCCAGATTGGCAGTAGAAGTGGATTTCTGCAGCTAAACGAGCAGCTGATCAAGCCATACATTAATTAAGCTATGGATGTATTTTTACATCGATATTTTTTTCTTTATTTGGTTTTATTTGAATGATTCAATCACAGTCTCATAATGATTAAAAAATGTAAGATTGTGTATTGTTGATTTGCATTAGTGTATTACTGAGGCAGAGTGAGAATAGATTGAAGAGAAGCGATCCCATATGCTTTCTACTAAACACTGTTAATTTGTGTAATGTTAAATGACTGCTTATAAATCTTTTTACTCATGTTTAATCATGTGTTTTATGAACTTACATCAAATACATTTATTGGACTACAATGTTCTAAACTGATACTACTGCTCAGCAGTAGATGAAGTTCAAGTATTTCATGCAGATTTTGAGATCTAATAAAGCTTCAAATTTATTGATTTTGGTAAAAAATTGTGCTGAATGTTGTTCAACAGAAACAACTGAATACATTTTTTTCCCAACTAATTAAAACTATGAACATGTTAAAAATAAACCCCTCAACCTTTTTGGCAGGTCTCAAACTATTCGCAAATGCAGTGAAGTAAAAGTTAAAACTATCCACTGTAAATGTGCTTAAGTAAAATACAGATATGCAAAATTTCTACTTTATACTTTACTATACTAAACTTTATACTGTACAGTACTTTACTACTTTCACTTTGTTACATTCCACCGCTGTTACTACTACTCCTACTACTCTTCCTCGATCTCTTGTCACTAAAATCACTAATACAACAACAACCAGTAAATCATGTGTTTTATTAAAGTTAAACTAATTATTTTCACTATTGATCATATTCTGTCCCTCATTTTACCAGAGGCCGTATACAACCTTTCAACAATTGCCGATTAGGTTGAATGCCAAGCTGTAATTGTAACTACTAAACCTGTTTAGGATGTCTCTCTCCATGAAGACACACCATTTACCAACATCCTCATGATTCACTGCATTTAGAGCCCTATTTATCAGCAGTTGCCCTTGAGCCACAGACTGTAACCATATGAAATAAAACCGTTGTAGACTGAATCCTTTGTTTGAGAGAACTGAGCAGTCATAAAACACAGCTGAAGAGACTCTTTCACAAACGCTATACAAACAAGCCTTGTAAAGTTGCTCCTCTACCAAAACACAGTAAACGACTGGTTCTCAAACTGTGGTGTGGGTACTATTGGGATTACATAAACATCTAGTTCTACGTCTAGTTCTTTAAAGGGCCCGTATTATGCAATTTTTTGATCTATTTTTATAATGTTGTTTCCTCATCAAAAACAGACCTGGAATTGTGTTTTATGTATTCACATGTTTAACACACATATCCTGCATATTTAACCCGAGTTCTTCTCTCAAACGGAAAACACTCCACCACCTGTGATGTCCAGTCTCTACTGAACAAAAGGTAAACTTGAAAACTTCAACTACATGACATCACAAGGTGTAACAGAGCACTTTGAGCTTTAGAGATGTAGACAGACCAGAGGTGGGACCAAGTTGTTGTTTTGCAAGTCTCAAGTAAGTTTCAAGTCAATTCAGATTTAAAAGTGCTTCTCAAGTCTTCTCAAGTCATAGGCCTCAAGTCCGAGTCATGTCCCAAGTCACTGACCTTCATGTCCAAGTTGAGTCCCAAGTCTTAGTCCATTTTATCAAGTCAAGTCTCAAGTCCTAACAATAGTGACTCAAGCCTGACTCAAGTTCAAGTCACAACTTGCAAGTCCCATCTTTGATATAGATTAATAATGAAGGACCATTCAAACATGTGTGAATAAAACAAAACACAACTCCAGGTGTGTATGTTTTTGAGGATTTAACAACATTATAACATGGTTTAAAGCTCAAAGCGTCCATTTTCCATAATATAGAATCTTTAAGTAGAAGACTTGTCTAACTACATGTGTGGTGTACTAAGGAGGTCACAATATGTGTCCTATAATATGTGACCAGCTTTATGAAATCAAACATTCTGAAAGAAAACAGTGACAAAGTGACATGTAGCCAGATAAAAAAAAAAAAAAAATCATGTTAGATTATACGTTTACTTTTTGGACTTTTTGAAATCTAAAAGGGTCAATTATTTTTTATATAATTACATTGTGGCCACTTAACTGAACCTGATAATTGATATACTGAATAATCTTAACATTCCTTCGCTATATGTTGTATATTCTGCATTAAAATACATTCAGAGAGATTTTAACTTGGTTTAGAAGATACTTAGTCCTTGTTTATTCCTGTTTTATCTGCGTTTAGTTGATTTTTAATAATGCTTTTTCTCTGTCTGTCTATTTGATTGTAATCCCCTTTTAACTTAGTGGTTTAGGATAGATTTATGTCTTTGTTAGTTCTATCTGAGTCTGCCAAAGAGACTAAAATTATTTGTCAAACTTGATAAAAGTATTTGCCGTAAACAACTGCATCTTTATTACACAAAATGGCTGTGTCTATAAAACTCCTAATAGACCTGTTTGTCTCATAATGGCCTTGGTGAGACGCTCTAAAATTGATAATGGACCTCACAGAGTAATAAATATGAAACATTACTCACACACCGGCCTCATCATTTAGCAGTGTGGGGATGTTTCCAGAGAAATGCTTTATCTGCAGATGTGGCCAGACTTGACCCCAGCTCTGCCTGTATCTACCAACTTTAGAATGAGAGCAGCTATGACTAATCACTATTTCCTTTAATTCAACTTTGATGTCTTTAATCGTCTCATCCTTGGAGCTTGTGTTAAACTGCAGAAAAGATCAGAGCGAGCATGTACTTAGACTTTACATAAGTATAAGTACGTATTTATCCTGCTCTTTTATTTGGGCTTTTCCTGTCTGGGGGCAAAATGGCAAATCTTCTGCCTCCCACATTGCAGTTGTTGTAGTATTTGCAGCAGGTGTAGTAGTAGTAGTAGTAGTAGCAGTAATAGTACTAGTTGCAGTAAAAGTAAGTAATAAGGTTCAGTGCTTGCAGTTTTAGTACTTTTGATAAGTCTCTACTAGTTATAAGTGATTGTAGGATTAGTACTGGTTCCAGCTTTTGTTGTTTGCTTTTTCATTTTTTAACATTTTTTTTTTTTTTTTTTTTTTTTTTTATCAAATGCCCTTCCTAAAACTTAAATTAGACATAGACTTTATTGATCCACAAGGGAATTATCTGGACAACTCACACATCACAGTAAATTATAATAACAAAGAGCAAAAATATAATGCGTTATAGTCTGGGTTTAGATCTGGTACTGGTAATCAAAAAGTGAAATATTATCTTAGGTGGTACTTAATGCTCATTTAACGCTTTAATGTTAATTTTATGGTGATTATTCATGTTTTTATTTGTTTGTATTACGATTTTCAGTGTTGGGAATAACGCATTATAAAAGAAACAAATTACTTTTACGTGTTCCTTTTTGCTGTAAGGCATTACAGGGAAAAATTTTTTAATATTTTACTCGGTACAAATGTCAGTAACTCACATCACAGTGCTTTTTTAACCTGGACTGAAGTAGTGGGTTTTTCATTTTTCTTCATACAAATTCGCTAAAGTCACCAAGATCAGCAGTAGTGAAATGCCAAAGTTATGATTCCGAATGTTGGGATGGGCCTGGAGGTGCGCCTGCGTAGACTGTTGGGTAAACGTGGGCAAAAGGACCGGCGCGGAACTCCACGCTCCACAGGGCTAATCACAGCTGAAGCCCGATCGCGCTTTGCTGACACCCTGCTCCACAGGTTTGGGGTTCTCTCAGGGGCTTCCTAGATTCCAAGTCCTAGTCCAAGATTAGTCTTGGTTTGGTCCTGGTTTAGTCCTAGTTTATTCTTGATTCAGTTCTGGTTCAGCTCTGGTTTAGTCCTGGTTTCAGCCTGGTTTAGTCCTGGTTCAGTCCTGGTTCAGTCCTCGGTTCAGTCCTGGTTTAGTCCTGGTTCAGACTGTATACAACGCAAAAGTCCGGCATCTTTACTTGCTGATTGTTATTTGACAATTAGCGACAGTTATTTTGGTGAGAGTAACTTAAAAGTGCTGCAATAGTTGTGTAATATCTTACTTTTTAAATACAGTAATATTGTAATGTTATGAATTACTTTGAAATGACAGTAACAAGTAATAAATAACGCATTATAGTTTTGTAGTAACTTGCCCAACAGTGATGATTTTAATGCCTTTCTTATTCGGTAAAGCACCTTGAATTGTGCTGTACAGATAAATTTGCCTTGTCTTACTTTTAGTTTGAGAAACATTGATCTAGGCCATTATCCCAGATTGGAGGCAGCAGTAACATGACAATGCATTTGAATAATTATGTGTATTAGTGTATTAAGATTACAGGAGTTAGTGATGGACATATTCTCTTGTTTTGAACAGATGCGGGAGCTGTTTGAGCACCAGGTGGAAGTGTTACTGGGACCTGGAGAGCCACCTTTGCGTCGCCGGTAAAGATGAGTCAAAGCACAACCTGCTGGAGGTGAGAAAGCCTGTGTTATCTTTGGTAAATGGCAGATGCCTCCAGGATCTCTTAATATTAAGAGCCTTAGACATAATCCACACAAGTGCAGCTTACTGTAAGGATCTGAGACACAAGTCTCGGGAATGTGGCAACATTATTCAGTGGTGTGGACTAGATAGATACTTAAACTTACTGTAACATTTTCAAATCTAAACTCTCATTTTAGTAGTAGTAGTAGTAGTAGCAGCAGCAGCAACAGTAGTAGTAGTAGTAGTAGTAGTAGTAGTCATAAAAGTACCGATACTAGTTGAAGCAGATGTAGAATGCATCAGTATTATTATTATTATCATGGGTAGTAGTAGTAGTAGCAGTGTGGTGATAGTTTTAGGTGTTGTTGTAATAGTTATAGCACTTCGTTGTAATTGTTGTAGTTGTAAAAGTAGCATCACTACTTGAAACAGACATGCTGTAGATAACATCAGTAGTAATAGTAGTAGTAGTAGTAGTTGTAGTAAAAGTAATGATACTAGTTGAAGCAGACATAGAACGCATCATTATTATTGTTGTAGTAGTAGTAATATTAGTTAAAGTAGCAGTGTGGTGGTAGTAGTAGGTGTTGTTGTAATAGTTGTAGTACTTGTCGTAATTGTAGCAGTAGTAAAAGTAGCACCATTAATTAAAACAGTAGAAATTGTAGATAGATAGCATCAGTAGTAGTAGTAGTAGCAGTAGTAGTAGTAGTAGTAGTAGTAGTAGTAGTAGTAGTAGTAGTAGTAAAAGTGGCATTACTATTAGTATTTTTGTGAAAGATGTGCAAAACAAATTTCCCTAGTTCCCTCATTTCCTTGTGTATAGGATTGTTCACTTGTAATTTACAGTAGGCTACAGTAGAGATTTTATTTTCTGGCGACTGTGTCTCTTTAAGCTCTTTTCCTTGACCTCCTCTTGAGTTGCTCTGTTTAGTGCTTTGGTTTTGAAATCTCAGCATGTGGAAGATTACTCTCCCTGTGTTGCTATTTTTGCCCAAGAATTATTACTCAACTGTCAGGACTTGTTTGTTGCCTGGAAATAAATACACCCAGTATTGTCTCCCATGCTTCTGTTTTAACTGGGAGTCTGTACAAAGGATTATGGCGATGTTTGTGTGTGGACGCAAAGCCTAATTAGCTGTGAACTAGTCTGTAAAGCAAACAGAACAGTGTAAAGTCCTGCCACGGGCTGGTAATGATGCTGTTTATTTAGCAATACCATTTAACTAGGTCTGTCATTGTAACTTAAACTTAGTGTCAATTTGTCTGTGGATTGAGAACATTCAGAAAACCCTATTTTGAGAACCACAATAACCAAAAATGTAATGGATGCCATAGATTGCGGTTTTACAAAATTAGCCTCTCTAATTACTAACTTATGTTTAAAAGAAAACATTGAAGATGTAATACAACTGTATAAGACCAAAACACAGTTAATTAAATATGTGACAAATAAATATAAACAATACATTATGGGTCTAATAGGTTGACAAAGGAAATAATGAATGAAGCACTGAAGACAGGGTCATAAGGCTGTTATATAGTTTTCCATTTACAATCAATAGATGTTTTATTATTTATTATGTTTTATTATTTATTGGCACAACTCTTTAGTGTTACATAATTGTATAGTATTAAAAATACATCGGCCTCCTGTGAGGTTATGTCATGCTTCTTGGGACCTTTAAATGGCTCTGTGGGAGGTAGTTCTCGGAAAAAATCTGCCTCTATTGTTCTTTTCTGGTCGTGGTGGTCCTGTGATGTTAAAGTAGCACAATACAGCTCTCAAGTCTTACCGAGCGTTTGAGGAGCAGCTGACAGGAGCCTGAGTCAGTCACACAGTCACACCTCCTGGTCCTTTAGGCCCAGATCTGCTGGTCTGAGCCGGACTATAAAAACTCCACAGGAACTCTGCAGTCTGACGTCCAGCGAGACTTTAAATAAACGCTTTTATCACACCCTCGCGCCAGGATTTTACACTGTTCTGTTTGCTTTACAGACTAGTTCACTGTTAATTACAGTTTACGTCAACACACAAATATCTCCTTAATCCAAACTTAAAGGGGTGGGCCACGTTTAAACAAACCCCTGTAATAGTCTGTTTTTCATTCCTCTCTCCTGTCCTTGTCAAACTACGACATAAGTAATCTGTTTATATGGCTTTATGAAAGACTTAGTCAGCAAAACCACATGTCTTGCATTAACTGCAAAAGAGAAAATTACACATAGAGGGCTACATGTATGGCTTAAGATTAATTGCAAGTAATTCACAATTTTAAAATCATTAGGCTGTAATCATTAAAATAGAATACCCCTGGATCAAAACAATGAAAACAAGAAAAGATTTCAACGTTTTTATTATTACTTTTTATTTGTTGTTAATTTCTGATTCTTCTTTGATGATTTCTTGTTTTTTAGATACTTAAAAACGGCAGAAAACGGGAAAAATGCCCAAACATAATAACCCCATGTAAATATCATTTGTAGTCTAGTTTTGACCTCTACAAAAAAAATAAAAAAAGTCTTGTATCAGTTTAGCAGGTCACATTTCAGTCAAAAGTAAATTCTCGTGGATGCGTTTAAAATGTGCACAGTGAACTGAGTCACGATTTTTGGATTTTCACAAATCTAATAATTGTAATGCTTGACAAAAATCACAGTTTGATATCATTCTAAATTGTTCAGCTCAGTGCACAATTTCTTAAGAATGAAAACTCAATGAGACTATAGTAATGTAGGTCAGTGTGGGATGGAGAGGAAGAAGACGAGGCGGTGTTCCTGTCTGCTGGAACCATCATGGTGTCCGGAGCGGTTTGTTTTTCTAGTCCTTCATCGCATCTCCATTTGAAGCTATTGTTGCTTCGCTATGAGCCAGAAATCACTGTCTCATTTCCTGCTGCTTTAGATAAACAGGACAGGTATTTTGGGGTTTGCGGATGTGTGTGGAGAACTCTATTGTTTTCTTAAGTACTTTATGGCCTTGGTTCTGAAAATGTGGGATGGGTTGGGATGGGCTGCACGCAGGATTCTTCTGCTGCTACTCAGTGCTAATCCAGGTAATCCTATAGGCATTTGAGTGTTTTGGAGATGGTTCTAACAATATGAGTTATGCCAGTTTCACCATATGTCCTAATCTAGCCTTAGGTACTTTTCTCTTATTATATTTGGCTTGTTTGACTAGGTGGCTGTCTTGGTAGAGTTAAACAAATGTATTAACACAGTTTCATCACTTTTAGAGAATAAGTAATATGCTGGTGTTGTAATGCAGATTTATTGAAGGTACTGGGTCACTTGTAATTTTCCCTTCCACATCTCTAATACAGAGCAGTGTGCTGGGTTCACTGAACAATTTCCTCTCATTAATTTGGGCAGTGATCATTAATTATTTGCTTTATGGAGTTACATTTTTTAATCAACATTGGCCTTGAAATATCTTTAGTGTGAATCTTTACTTTCTGATGCTGTTTCCTCATCAAAAACATGCTCAGAGTTGTGTTTTGTTTCATTCACATAAATTTAACACACAAATCTTGCATGTTTATATATTATATATATTGCGTTTTTTGCTCAAACAGGAAACAATCTGCTCCACCTGGTGATGTCATGTAGTGAGACAAGAAGTGCTCCACTGTGTTTTTAAACTCCATACACTAGAATCATTTGGATAATTTCAACTCTGGAATTATAAATCTTTACTGAACAAAAGGCAAAAGGTAGTTGTTAACTTGAAAAACTACTTCTTCTTGACGTTTTTAGCATTGGAGATGTAGCCAGACCTATAATAAAGGATTACTCAGACATGTCTGAATGAAACAAAACACAACATTATAACTTGACTTAAAGCTCACAAGAGTCAACTTTGCTTAATATAGGATCTTTACTGTGAAAAGCAGAATAATCATTGTTCTATGTCTTTTCCTGTCTGTAGGATGCTGCATTTTGTCCCAGCCTGGTGGCCACAGAAGTTCCCCCGTCTCCCTCGGGCATGTCCCAGGACTTTACCATATTCCTGAACAACGTGGAGGAGGTATGGCAGACAGACACACTTGGAAATGGTCCAAAAGACGTGTTGTGAAAATGATTGGAATAAACCCCAGCATATGGTGTGTTTGCTTCAAGCCGAGTTAAACACAGATGGATTCTTTGGGGTCAATAAATGAGCCTGGCTGAGGGCTGGCTGCTGTTATGAGCCAGATGAAACATAAACAAGCCAAATTTTAGATACAAAAATTGTTCTTCTAAATTATACTTTTTCTATTTTTACCAATAAGCATGAATGTGTATTGAAACTGTCATCTAGGCATTCTGTATTATAGTAACTATGTCTACAAACCTAAAATTCTTACACTATCCCAGTTTTGCTCCTTCAACTATATCAACGTTGCTTATTATATTCAAAGATTCCGCTCATTACTCAGTGGCTAGCACTCATGCCATACAGCAAGAAGGTTTTGGGTTCAACTCCCCGTGTCTGAGTGGGTACAATACAATTTACTTTAACCATAACACATGCCACAATAAAGAGATAATCTAATAAGGTTATGCTTCATCTTTAATCAGTTCTGGCAGATACAACATTCTGCAAGACTTTTTAGTATTAGCTGTTATGAGCCAGATGAAACATAAACAAGCCAAATTTTAGATACAAAAATTGTTCTTCTAAATTATACTTTTTCTCTTTTTACCAATAAGCATGGATATTTACTGAAACTGTCATCTAGGTCTGTATCATAGTAACATTATATAAAAGATGTGAAGTGCACTGTATCAGCCATGAAGACTTCACTTTGTCAGATAGAACATTGCACACAACAATATTTCTGAGTAATTCAATAAGAGGTTGAATAAGTGCTTTCAAAAGAAGGCGTGGTTTCTCATGTATCTTCTCAAAGCCGTGAAACAGCATTTTCTGCCCCTGGAAGATGAGCCCCAGCATACTGGATTACTGAAACACTTGTGAATCAATGTGAATACAACCTTTGGTATGCTTTTGACAGGAAAAATGTTATAACATAGCAGAAATCAGGGGAAGTTCAGGGACAAATAGGTCTCCTTGAAATTACTTTAAGGTCCTACATTACACAAAATTGACTTGTGAATTTTAAGTCATGTTAAAATGTGTTACCTCATAAAAACCTGGAGTTGTGTTTGGTTTCATTCACACATGTTTAAGTAATTCTGTGTGTTATTAGTCTGTTTACATCTCCAAAGCTCAAAATGCTCCGCTCCACCTTGTGATGAAACAGTAGTTTTTCAGTCAGTAGTTAACAGCTTACCTTTTGTTTTGTACAGATTGTATGGAGTAAGAAAGCTTTCAGAAATATTCATATGCATAAAATCTGTACATATTTGGCTGTAGTTGAGCATAAAATAAATATTGGTAAACTCTCAAATGAATCCAGTCGTACTTAAAATGTGTTGTGTGTAATTAATCCATCAGAATACGAATTGAAAAGTTACGACATCAAGAACTACAATCACCAAATGAAAATTTACGATTACACTTTCTTCAGTACGAATACGAATTCACAGACGCGACTCGACTGTCAAAAATACATCATTTCTGAACCAGGGCTGAGCCAGGACTAAACCAGGACATATTTTTGAAGTCAAGTCGTGTCTGTTACTTCGTATTTGTACTGAAGAAAGCGTACTCGTACATTTTCATTTCATGATGATGTTTTAACTTTTCAATGTGTATTCTGATGGATAAAACACACAACATACTTATGTACGACTGGACTCATTTGAGAGTTTACAAATATTTATTTTATGCTCAACTACAGCCAAATATGCACATGAATATTTCTGAAAGCTTTCTTACTCCATAGGATTGGCAGTTCCAGTCTGAAATCATCCAAATTATTCTAGTGAAGGTGAAACTGTTTTCAGTTTTTGTAAAGTAATCAGAATTTGTGTGTTAAACATGTCTGAAACAAAACACAACTCCACTTATTTTTTTGATGAGAAAACATTATAACATAATCAGAAAATAACGTAATATGGGTCCTTTAATATAAAGGTTTACTGGCAACGACACGTCATAATCATAATCACCATAGACTTTTTAGATTTGTACATGCTTATACTTTTGAACCAATCTGTATAAGCAGAGTTCATCTTCCTGAGTAATTGTCATTATCTAGTGGGGCTGCAATATTAATCTCAAATGATTTGAAATCGTACACTAATTTCTTCCTCAAACAACAAAATATCCTCTTATTCTACTTAAAAATGACTAACCCTGTAGTTTAGATGTCGACAAACATGTTCTGAATTGTGATTCTTGTATTCATTTTCAGTTCATCTTAAGCCTTTTTGTCAATTTCTCTGAACGTGCTTAATATGTGAACTTTGAACAGAATCCAATTATTAAAACATAAATCGCAATTACATTTTTTCCCCCAAATTGTTCAGCGCTATTATCTAGTCTTCGTTTCTATTCACGAATCAGACAGTTCAGGTCCTAGCTCACGGGTGCTGTAAGAAAATGTTGTCCTTCTTCTGCTCACACCTCTTTTACTGTGCAGTGGCTTTAATGGTATTTTGTTGGTGTCTGTGGTCTCTACCTGAGATATGTACTTGTCAGCAGCTAGCTCAAGCAACACTCCCTCAATTGTGTTCATTTTTAATTCGCCCTGCTGCTTCCCAAATCAATTTTATACAACTCTTATTCTCATTCTTAATCCACTCCAGAGGTTTATCCCACATCGGTGATAAGGACTCGGTGAGGATCCTTTCTAAATTCCAGTGCTGAGTAGTCTCCAGGCGTGGTCCAACCGTCACACGCCTCACCCCGACTGGCCTTTAGTGCAGTTTCTATGGTGACAGACACTAGTCACATACAAATGTACCCATAAACACACACGGGCAAACCACAGCTACACCGGCCAAACATGCAGTTAGGTTTTATTATGAAAGTTTACACAAGCCGACAAGTGTCTTAATGTCAACAGTGAGTCAGGAGCAGAGTGAGAAATGTCACCCGAGTTTGTTCTTGAAAAGTAGCCATGAAAAAATTCCCACAGTTTTGAAATACAATGATCATTACATCATTGCCCACTGTGTGTTATTGATGGCTATAGTAAAATCTGATGTGACAACCTAGTGATTGTGCAGTATTGACCAGAGCCGCGTGGGTGTGGTGGTTTAATTGTCGGTGTAAAGCATTTTGAGTTACACGATATGTATGAAAAGCGTTTTATAAATAAACTTTGATTGCTTGATTGATTAAAAGCTCCAACTTTGGACATGAGCTGACCCAGTTCTCCAGCCAATAACTAAAAAGACTAAAATTCTTACATTATCCCAGTTTTACTCCTTCTAATATATCAACTTGGAGAAAAAGATTCCACTCATTACTCATTGCCGAGCACTCATGCCTCACAGCAAGTGGTTCTGAGTTCGACTCCCCATGTCTGGATAGGTTTCCTCTGGCCGCTCCGATTACCCTAGCAACTCCAAAACATGCACAATATTTAAAATCCTTCCTTTAAAGTAGTATAACTGACAAAGCTTAGCCCCAGTGGCATTGAAATATGTGTATAGAGGACAAATTTTGGGTACAGTTCAGTTTACTTCAACTTTAACATATATCACAATGAAGAGATCATCTAAAGCAGGGGTGTCAAACTCAAATTCACAGAGGGCCAAAATTAAAAACTGGGACTAAATCATGGGCCGAACAAAATTGAAAAATTTCAACAACTGCTGCATGTTTTCTCTTCTTTCGAGATGTGTAATATTAAACCTTTTCTTATTAAAATAAATGTTTAATAATAGTTTTGCTTAAACATTGAATCCAGAAGAAGTATAATATAAAATAATAACTAAACTTTAAATAAATAATATCTCTATAGCCTATCTGTAGCCAGCGGGCCAGCTCTAATACATATTTGACATGATCTCGCGGGCCAAATATAATTATATCTCGGGCCAAATATGGCCCCCGGGCCTGAGTTTGACATGTTTAATCTAAAGGTTATGCTTGATCTTTTTTCAATCAGTTAGCCTATGGAAGATTCAACATTTCTGTAATCTTTAACACTTTAAATTGTAAACACTTTTCCACAAATATAAAATCCTAAATGCATAACTTAAACTTAGGCAAAGTGTTTTTAAAGTATTCAGCAGCAAGCAGCTTCAAGAGCCTTGCTTCTCAGACTAGACAGAAGAAACAGAAAAACAATCCGTCAGTGCGTATTTTTTAGAGTTAGAAAGAGCCTGTCAAATCCTTGAAGAAAATAGCAAAGCCCTGGAGAGGCTGATCAAAGTGGACCAATTTAAGATGGCTGGATTCTCCGGTGATTTCAGCCACTCCTGGACTCACCTCTCTAGCAGTTCTGGGCTCTAACTTTCACCAGATTGCAGTGGTGCTCAATAGCCTTCCCCAATGACTCGCTGAGGTGTGGGAGTCCAGATGTTTATGAATATGAATTTTGAATGAATTGCATCTTTGGCTGGCAGGGATGATTATTTCATTTTCCAGCTAACTATGTTGGAGTTGCCAATTGTTAGCAGACGGGTTTGAAAAAGATTTTAAATTACCACCGCTTGCTTTATAGTCTTGTTTTTGTGCTGTACATAGTTCTTTACATGATTGTTGTAACGGGGGAAGGGTTTGAACTGTGACTTTGGTCTGGCCACCTCAGTCTGACCCTAGTCAAATTCTGTACTTTCCCTCTACAATTGTGTTTTGGATGTTTTAAAATGGTTGTCACAGCGAGTGGTGGAAGAAGTATTCAATTTTGTTACTTAAGTAAAAGGACAGATACTAAAGCAAGAAAATTCTCAAGTAAAAGTATCACTTGAAAAAAATACTACTACTAATTAAGTTAAAGTATTAAAGTACCCATTTAAAGCGTTTGAAATGTAAGATAGCCTATAAAATGTAGCAGTCAAGATTTTTGCTGAATTTTGTTCAACCGAAGCAATTGAATTAATATTTTTTTGCCTAGCTGTTTTTATTTCTATATTTTTATTTACCACTTTTACTTTGTTACATTCCACCTCTGATCGCAGCATATTTTAGCATTTGTCAAAGTTCCTAAAAGTCTTAATATCCTTTGAGAGCAAAGTGTTTATTGCATATTTGTGAACAGACAATTTCAACACATTTCTGAGACTTCGGTAGTTGTAATTCTCCACTATTATGTCCATTTCCGTAACATCTGCAGGATGACTGGTAGCCTTCAAATCCTTACAAATGGCCACTTTCTTCCTTCTAACAAAACAATTTACAGGACAAAATGCTCACTTAGTGCCAAAAATCACTGAAACTGTTAACAGAGCATTTTTTCATTTGCATGCCGTTACTTCCTGTCTGTGGTGTAGTGTTGAATGCTTTACACTTTATATTCTAACCCATGGCTGTTGTATTTAACAGGGCGAGCAGCTGGAGTGTGACTTCGGGACAGATCAGCGTTATGAAGCCACCTGGTTGAACAGTTCGGCTGTCAAGTGCAGTGGAGTAACAGTGAGTGCTCTATAGGAAGACATTTTGTACTTTCCTTTTCCCCGGTCACCACTTTGTTTATGTTTGAAGTAGGAACAGAGTTGACAAGAATGCTACACCCTGTACTCCTGTATTATTAGTTTTACAATAAATACATTTAAAGATGCACTATGTAACCTTTCTGTTGGATAGTCTGCCACCTATTTGCCTTGACTGAGATGTCATTGCTTTGCCTTGAATGCTCCATGCCATTACATTAATATCTCCATGGTGACGTCATCAAGTTACAGGTCAGGCGAGGCAATTTTCTAAAATTTTTCCCCCTCTATTTGTTGTAAAGCATCTTTGAGTGTCCAAAAAGCGCTATATAAGTATGATGTATTATTATTATTTTTATTAATCACAGTAAGAACAGTGTATTTTAAGCAATAAAAATACATGTGTAATAATTATATAAATGCTAAATAGATAACTTTAATGTCTCTATATAACATTCAGGGATAACAATAACCAGGGTTCCCATGGTCACGGAAACCCTGGAAAAGTCATGGAAATTGAAAATGTTGTTTTCCAGGCCTGGAGTGGCTAGGATTAACATATTTACATATAACATATATTTAGCCCTAGAAGTATGGTCAATTCTAGACATGTAGGGTGCCGTAAAGTCATGCAAAAGTTTTGAAATTTTGTCAGTGAAAAAGCGTGGGACACCCTTACATAGTGCACCTTTACAATGATTCAATTCTGAAAAATGACCAACCAAAATCCCTGTCATAAAATAGCTTCTAGCAAGAAACTCATGCAACTTCCCTGTATTACATATATCAGTGTTTTTTTTTTTTACATAGGATTAAATGATGTGGCATTGTTTTGTTGTCTGTTTTTAACTTGTTTGAATGCAGTTTAAATCCCTGATTAAACAGACTATTATTATCACCAGAGACAGCATGTGGGAATTAATGCATGCAGGGCTAAAATTATACTCTCACGCACACAAAGATAACAGGCATGTCTACCAGTGTTTTTATTGTTCCATTTATATCCCCATAGCTGTCCACTCACCAAAGGACTCAAGTTTACTACCTGAATCTACGCAGAGCTGGTGACTTTGATGTATTCATAGACACACCCAATCCGATGAAAGGTAAGTTATGCCAACAGTGGATTTGGAGATAGTGGAAAAGTCTTTGTTAACATTGTTAGGCATGCTTTAGTGATTTAGGTACTTTTCACATAGGGTGGCCAGACCAGAACTATTGATTTGTCCCAGTTTTACAGAAGAAATGCCCCTGTTGTCCCTATTTTGACTAATCTGATCCCCACCGACAGTAAAGAGGGGCATATAGTCATTTGTTTAGCTGAAATACAATAAACTGTGCTTGAAAATGAGCATAAGGTAAAAAAAAGTTCACAGACAGAAGTCACTCAGAATCTAAACTGATTCACACGAGTCAAGAATGGACAGTATTTTCATTATTTTATTTATAGCTACCAAACATCCCAACCTGGGTGTCCTAGTATAATTTGAATTTTGAAAATCTGGTCAGCCTACTTTCACAGTAAATACTGCTTACAAATGTGTTTTGCTTGAACCTAATCTTGACCAAACTAGATCTAAAGCAAGGTATGAAATAAAGATCAAAGGCATTTTGAATAAGGGCAGACCACTGAAGAAAGAGACTATGACTACTGTCAAATGTATGAACCAGAAATAAGTCTGCATCTGAATTTAAGATTACTAAAACCAAGACTAAATAAAATTAGGACTTCACTAGAACTAAACCCAAACCAAGCATGTGAATTTGGGTTAATTTAGGACAAGACTGTTGATACTCTGCAGTGACATCATGCTAGGGGTTTTCTGCCTGTAAGCTTACGGTGCAGTATTCAGTAGTTACCATGGTGACACAATGCACACATTAGCGATTACCACCAAAAAGTTTAAAGATTGTCTGGTAAAACAAAAACAAAATACCAAATTGATTTAAACAACACATTTTCAGGAGCCTGTGATCAATATGAGTGTTCATGGTCGTGTTTAGGTGTTTGATTTTCTACAAAAGGTGAAAGTGACTAAATGAAAAACTGTTAATGCGAGCAAAGTTGTTGTAGCTGTAATTTTATTTGAAATGGACTTGTTTAACAGCATAAATCAGTTCACCTGCTGTAGCTGCAACCCACTCAGTTCTCTCAGTTGGTCAGATTGTGTTAAAATAAAACTCAGATTAAAGTCTAACTTTAATAACAATGCCTAAGACAGAGCAGTGCCTTCAGTTAGCATCACAACCTCAGGGAATGTTGGTGATATCAGCTGCAAAGTCTCAACAGCAGATCTAAACCAACCCAAATCCATGACAAAACCTGATCCAGAACTAAACAAGGACCAAACCAGTGAACCAAAACTGGAATAAAAAATATTAAAAATATTTCTAAACCTGGATTTAAACCAAATAAGACCAGAAGAAATATGTATACTACTATTGGGACCCTCAACACACCAAACCACTGAATGATAGTGGATTTTTTGACAGGTGAAAAAAGAACACAATTATTGTAGCTATGCTTCACTGGCTCTCTGCATTTGCCTATTCCCAAATTCAACACAATTCTGACGTCGGCTGCCTCTGCTGCTCCCAAATTGCACTGCACCTAAGCATGAATATTTTCAATTTGATTAAAGCTGTTGAAAAATGAACTAGAGGACAAACAGTGCTGTCATATACAATAATAAATGCTCATGTAATAGACACGTAGTTCGCCAAATAATACTCATTTAACATAATAGTATGCAGCCTGGCTTTGTAAGTGCAGTTAAGGATTATAGCTGACACGAGGACTGCAATTTGAGATGTTACGGCGGCTCTTTAAAAGCTTTATCATCACTCTTTGTTGGAAAATACAATTTAAGCTCCATGACTACATAATGCAAAGTGGCATGCATTTTGTTCACCTTGCCATGTTGTGTATAGAGCCCCTAAGACAAGCCAATCTGAAGTCTAGGCCTACCCCAGTCCCAGATGTTGTTGTAGAATGTGTGCAGTGAATACAACTGGCTAGCATGGCAACGCACTTTTCCTAACATGCACAGTCATCAAAAATTTAAAGTGCATTTTTATTTTTTTATCACTTGCATGCAGGCGGTAAGATTTGAATTGTGCTTGCAAATGCATGCACAGATGCACATGTGGTGATATGAATGGGATTTCTCACTGGGAGGCACATTGGAATATGAACATAATCATCTGTTTGGAGCAGGCTTTGTTCTCCTCCACTGTTTTTTTCAAGTGGATTTTTATAGCCATGAATATATCATCCTCTAAAAATGCTTATGCCTGTTCTTGGCGCGCACAGCACATATGGTACTAATATGAAAGTGGCCCAATCAAGCCAGACAAACCAAATTAGCTGTAAATAATGTCTGTGTTACAGTAATTGCCCCTGTTAACATTATGTTTCTGTCTCACCAGTGGAGGTGTACAACTGCGCGGTGGGCAGCTCTGACTGCTCCCAGTGCTGGGGCAGAGAGGACCAGGGTCACCTCTGTGGTTGGTGCGACAACAGCTGTAAACCACGAGACGACTGTCAGCCAATCAGAGACCAGTGCCCGGCCCCAGAAATCTACAAGGTATGTGCACATTCTATAGAGTACAAAGCAGAGGAGAATGGGGTCAAACTGAAAATTTATGGAGCAGTAAATTCAGTTATGGGCATAGTAAAGCTGCTTTATTGTTATTGAAATCATTTTGAGAAGTAAGTAAATTCCATGATCACGTACTGTTTGATGTCATTCCAAAACATTACCTACACACAAACCTCTCCTTAGCACTTGGCACTTATTCTCTGTCCACTTCCAAACATGCGATCACTATCTGCCTACTGAGCGAAAATCATTTAAACAACAATTCAAATCATCTGCAAATAGTCACACGAGAAGTCTGTCACTATTTCAGTGGTGAGCATTCCAGATAGATTTTTTGTGTGGCTATTCTCTTAACGTGGCTAGTACCATGTTAAGTACTGTAGCTGTATCCAGTTACCCCACGTCTGATTACTGCCATTTGCTTCTGTGGCTTCTCTCTCCCCTCTGGCTCTGTTTCCGAGCTGTAAAATGGTGAATCATGGGGTCAGTGTGTAGCTGTAGTGCCCTGTGCCCAGCCTGTCCCATGTCAGCTGCTCTGGGACTGTCTGAATAGACTCTCATTAAAACGCTTGGTTCAGTAATAACACTAACACTCACTTACAACCACTTAGCCCTCCGGGGACATGGCCCAAGAAGATGTGCAGTCAGTGAGGAGGGCATGGGAACACCTACTGCCCCGTACAGCCTCTCCAAAGGGGATTGGTTCAGTGTGTTGGCTCATCGCAGCATCTAAAAGAAAGCAAACAAGAAACAGCAGTGGTTTGTGGATTTGAGGCCAAAATCTGAGCAAAACCACATTGGCAAAAAAGAGTGTTTATTTTACACAGGATGTAACTGTGGGAACATCAGATGGGGTAGAGTTGTCATGCACAGTGGGTATCTTCAGAGGTGACAGTGAAATAAAATAAGAACATGCTTTTAGTTGTAGCAGCAGTGGTAGAAAAAAAAATACCACAGTAAAATAGAGCAGTTTTCCATATTACTGTAAAAATTTATAGGAAAGGACATGGAGTACTTAAAGGTGCACTGTGCTACTTTTCTCGGGAGGGTCACCATCTTTTCTACATAAAGATATTTTTGCTTCGCAGTATGATATTAAACTTATCTTGCTCAAGACAGGTCAGATCTGTGAAGAATCAGTCCTGCTCATAATAATGCATGTTTACAATTACCCATCAAATTCAATATATACAGGATAATTTACGTTTAATGCTATAATGTATACAAACATTCCAGGCAAAATTCCCAGCCAAACCAAATCCAAATCAAATTTGTTTTTTTCAGTGACACATGTGAAATAAAGGAGCTTATTAGTCACCTATGATTTACAAATAAAATAAAATTTATCTCTTCTCAGATTAATAGAGTTCAGTGCGCCGCTCATTTATTCTGCAGAAATCCACAGTGATTGTCAGTCCCCTGTGATATTTTATTTCTTTTAATTTTTTCCAATACAAATTGACTATGCGTGGTTCTGATTGGCTAATCTACCTGTCAATCATTCCCATTTGAAAATTCTGTGATTCACCGGTGATCAGACTCACATCTTTGTAAAGTATTGAGAAAGTGTCTATTCTGATTCCCAGGCAACCTTAAAAACTAATTACAAATCACAATTTCTAATCCACGGTAACACTGTAATTCATTGAACACTTCTAATTTCTGTTTTTGAGCAAGGCTTCCATTTATTCCAGAATTTTCAAAAAAGGCAAGCGTGCAATAAGGCTTTTCAGGACCCAATTCAAAATTATGATTAAATTTATTAGTTTTTCATTAGTCACAGCCTTGTACACAGGCCCATCTTCTGCCAGCACAGTGTACGCCCTATCAGCACCGCCACGGGAGTCGGTCATGGGAAGCACGGCTCACATGAAGACCAGTTGGCCCTGAACTTCCTGTAGATAAAACCTGGGAGAAAACACACAAAACAGAACAAAGCAGCCAGACACGCACAAACACACATACAAAAAAACACACGCAGTTCCTCCCAATCTGTCCCAACAAACAGGCCATATTGAAGCGTTCATGATTATTCCCTAATTCTGTGTAGCTGTCTGCAAACTGTGACTAACGGGATGCACTGTGAGAGACTAACTTCAGTGGACTCCTTCGGTGACTCAAGTTTCACTGTTGGCGAACGCGTGGGTGCACCATTGTTACGGGCTTGTTCACACACATACATACACACACGCACACACACGCACACTGGATGGATCTCAGGGGAGGCGTGCGGAGAGACGATGGAGGGGTTGTGGTTCTTTGTTGTGAATGATGCAACGCTTTGACGGTCATGTTTTTTTTTTAAACCAGTATCCACAAGGGTTAGGGTCTGTAGTTCCCAGGCTTTTAGAGAGAAAGCCAGTCTCACCACCAAAAATTCACTTACCTACCAGCCTGGCACTGAACACCACATTGAGACATTGTTTGGCCAATAAGATAAATGCAATACAGTATGTTGTGGTTGTCAGAGATGTAATAAGTACTGCAAATCTGTATTTCTGTAAAACACTGTTATTTCACAACAGTAACAGAAAAAATGCAACTAAATCAATATTTATAGAAAATAAGTTTTTGGCAGTTTTCTTTCCAAGGTCTGCCACTGCACAGTACACTACTGTCGTCACTGCTACTTCTACTATTATGGCCTTAAAAACTCTCTTTACCCTTAGTGTTTATTTCACTCAAAGTTTTACTTAAAGGTACGCTATGTAACTTCTAAGATGCAGGGTCCACTACTTGCTTGTCTTCAGGGTGATGTTGTTTATTTGCATGAAATGTTCCACAGTATGGCATTAAACATATCTCCCGTGCATTTGTTTAATAATAAGTGTTGTGCAGCTCAACAATAACTTGTAAACCATTAATTCTTACCATGTGCAGGCTTGTTTTTCCATAGATCTGACCATTAACCCGTCTCAAGTGTGATTACCAATTTTATTTCTGTACTGTGAAAAAATCAATGCAAAGACCGTCCACCAGAAAAGTTTCACAGTGCACCTTTAAAGGTGTGATTCTAGGACAATAAATTACTTAATAATAATTGAATGAACAGTACACAGCGGACTTGTTTGACCTTAAGAGCTGCTTACAATATATCTGTAAGACCGATTTTACTCTAATGCATGGGCAAAACTTGGTACAGGCTCTTTAAATGAAAGATAAATCATTTTAAACTGTACTACTACTACTATACATGCACCAATATTCGCTACCAATGTATCAAGTTACTTTGCATCCGAGCACAGTTTTATCGCTTGTTTTGTCACATGCAATCTCACTCACAAGGCCGTTGTAACAAAATATCAATATCACAGAGGAGGATTTTATTACACTCTCAAGTGTGGCACACATAAAACTTAATTTAGACGAATGCCATCTGTACACAGCATTGACTCAGGCGATGAAGACATTTATTCTAATACCCACACAGCCAATGTTAGCCTTGTGTACGTGTGGGCTTAATAACCAACTATTATTTAAAGGTACGGCCAAAACAGGAAGGGCTGTACAGAGTTTGTACAAGACTGCGAGAAAAGACCCACTAAACATATTTGGCCAAGTTTCATTCGTAGGTAAAAACAAAAAAGAATAAGAATAAAAAAGATAACCAAATCTGTTCCAAACTCAGACTAGACCAGAACTCTTTAGACTTAGACTTAGACAAACTTTTTTGATCCACAACAGAAATTATTTGGACACAGGAGCTCACACACACAATATTTTATAATAACAAAAAGCAACAATATTAATGGTAATATTAAATTCAAAATAAGTAACAAAAATAACAAGAGACTGGTGTTTAATAAAGCATGATTATATAAATGTATATGTACAAGCAAAAATTAAAAATATAGAAATATAGTGGGTCAACAACAATTTCTATCCAAACCAAAAGTACTGAAAGAGTCCAAGTGTTTGGGATTTAAAGAGAGTGAGTGTGGGGTGCAGTACAGGGAGAAACATTTCCTGTTTTTGTGCTCGCGTCCGTCTTGATCTGGCAGATGATGTTGAACTATAGTGAGCTGAAAGATGAAAGTGCTGACCTCATCGCTGTGTCACCAGTGAAAAGTAAAGGAAGGAGAAACATATGGGATTTAGTTCAATATATTGCCTAAAGGTAGGACAGGAAAGCCCAGGAGTATTGTTCAGCTCCTGGTTGGGTTAGAAAGGCGAAATATTGTAAAATGCAAGCAATTTCCCGTTTTTAGTGAATTCATCTGCTGTTTCATAAATTTGACTCTGCAGACTAAGTCTTGTGTCAATAAATTATAGATAAGAATTGGAAGCTGAACCAATTCACAAAGCTTCCAATACAAAAGTTGAACGAAATGTCTGTCCCTTTTTAAATCAATATTCATGATGTTGATATTGATGTATGTCAGCAGTATTGGGAAGTAACTGAATACATGTACATATAATATGTATTCTGATTACTAATTGTGAGTAATTATATATTCCGGTATAGTTACTTTTTCATTTGGTGGTATTCAGAAAACAGTTACTTTTATAAATTGGAGGAATACATTGTAGTATTTGAGCAGACAGTTTAGGCTTCAAACTGCATAGAATCAGTGAGAAAAAATAGACAACACTGCTCTTGTGGCGTGTGCATGTGTGATTTTTCATTCTCCAATGGGAAAGAACAAATGGTGAAATAAATATGTGTTTTAATCATATGTTGAGTTTTCACACTATGATTAAAGTGCAACTTAGTGTGAAAGTATTCAGAATACAGTACTCTGATTCGACTATGTATCAGAATATGTTACAAAATACATTTTAATTTGGGTATTGAGTATTCTTCCTATCACTCTTGGTCAGTAGAAAATGTCTTGGATGGAAGATGGCTTTCCAACTGCTTTCTAAAAGAAAGATATTTGAGTTTAGGAGTTTGCCATGCCTGCCATATTGTTGTTTCTCTTCTTAGTTGTACTTGTGAAGTGTAATAACTTTATAAAAAGGCCTTTGTATTTGTCAACCATCTG